CCAGGAGTGAAAACACTTAAAAGTATCTCAAAATAACATCAGCACAATACTGTGTCAAAGGGAGAGACTTGTGAATCAATAGAATTACTTGTTGAATGTTTATCATTGTTACCTGGTGGGAGAAGTTGCACAATCATGATCACAAAGATCATTGTTGTGTGTTTCTTGCATTTGGCACTTCATTGCTTTATATGGACAAAGTTTGGGAATAAGTTTGGAAGAGGTTAGACAAGGTAAGAGAAATTCTGATGGGAGTACATGTGATTTAAATAGCTGGTGCTATTTGGTTTAGCCTAAAAATGCCACTCTGAAACTTTCTTAGGGTTTGAAAACATTGAACTCTTTTGCAGGTAAAGAAACAGTTGCTTAGCTCCGGCTTGGTTGCAGCCTGGTATAAAAAAGTTATCAGAAGGATTTGGATAGTAGATGCTTGAATAAAATAATGCTACATCTTTGAATTAAGAAATAGAACCCAACAATTTGAATTCTAATGCTCTATAATTGCTTTGTCCATCTGAGATTTCAAATTAAAATATTTGCGTGGTTTTTCTTGTGTTTTTTTTTCCTAGATACTTTTTTCCTAGACACTTTTTCCTATTCTGATCCCTATTCAGTCTGAATATTTGTATATACTCAATCTAGGGTTTTAGTTCCTCTATATGTATGAAGTAAGTCTTAGAATCTGTCTGTAGTAGAGCTATTGCCATCAGCTGTGAGCCAAGAAGACATAGTCTATCAATCGTTGTGGAACATGCAAAGGTCCAGCTCCACAAACCTTCAGATCTGAACCTTTCTTCCTACTGTCATATGTATTTCAGTGACTTTATTTCATCATCTTATGGTTACATTTGCATGTATTTCCAATGTTTCCTGCTTTTTTTAAGACAAACCTGCTTTTCAAGTGTCTTTTTGATGCTTTCAGGAAGCGACACTGGGATTGGACATGCACTGGCTAAATACCTGGATGACTTAGGTTTTGTTGTGTTTGCTGGGGTTTTGAATAAGGATGGACCTGGAGCTGAGGAACTGAGACGGACCTGTTCTCAGAGACTCTCTCTTCTGCAGCTGGATATAACCAATGCCACTCAAATCAAGGAAGCCTATCTAAAAGTCTTGGAGAAGGTGCAAAATACAGGTACAGCTTTTTCCATTCTAATGGGAGTACTGATGCAGCCGCTTACAAAGTGCATCCCTTAACTGTTGGCTGCATCATGGCTTGTGTGTGTAGGTCATTTCCACGCTGCAGTCTGTGGACATATGAAAAACGATGATGACTCTTCATGGAGTGGGTACTGTGTATCTGTAGCTGCAGATCATCTCTGCTTTGATCTGGAGGCACCATCCAGCTCATCCGTTAATCTTTATGGAGTTGGTTTACTGCTATATAGTAGCCCTGTGCTTTCTCCTCTTCCCAGGGCTCTGGGGAGTCGTGAACAATGCGGGCATCCTGGGCTTCCCCGCCGACAGCGAGCTGCTCCCCATGAGCATGTACAGGCAGTGCATGGAGGTGAATTTCTTTGGAGCTGTAGCAGTGTCCAAGGCTTTCTTACCATTACTTCGGAAATCCCAGGGGAGGCTGGTTAATATGTCCAGCATGGCAGGTGAGCCAAACTACAGCACCAAATAAATTTCTGGTGCCACAGAAAAAACCACTAACTTCCTTGGCAAAAATGCTGAGGAAGGCGTCGGTCGATCTTGCTTGTCAATACACCTAGGGAATAGTAAGCACAATGATAAAACACCTGCTGAAGAGAAACATTTAATTCTTCAAGAGCAGAAGCCAGTTTTGGTTTTTGCTGCATCTTACTGTTCTTTCCAGTCCTACAGCGTGGTCTGCTAATAACCCGGGACCTCAAGAGAGTGTGTGTTTGGACACACTTTATTCTTTATTCTAATATTTGGACACAGATATTTCTTTAAAAATATTTTGGACATGTTCTTAAAAATACTTTAGCCTAACTTATTAGCAAAATGACATTTTTCCCATGAATAAAATAACTTTTTAAAAATTAACAGCATATAATATGCTTTCTAATTTTGTCCCATAAATCGGATCCTATGCTTGCTATTTATATGCCTTTATAACACGACCTTCTATTCTAGGAGGACAGCTGAGATGTTAAGATGTAGGAAGCAAAGTAATACAGTATCTGGTAGCCAGCAGCTGAGGAACAAGAATACTCCTTTGAAAATGAGTCCTGCTAGAAGCAGGATGTCATGACACTGGAGAGTATTTTGTCTTAAGACCTCTTAGGGATTTAGCGAATCTTCTGTTTCCCAAATTTTCCTTTGCCCTGTCTCCTTGGACTCTTACTTCTGTACAGTTGGTGTCCACCCAAATCCTGCTGTATTGCCGGGGTGGCTGGTGAAGGTGTTGCCTTGTGTTCATGGCTTGCATGGAGGATGTGGCCTCAGCCTAACTCTGACACTGTTTTCTTTTTATAAGCCCAAGTATGTTTGTTTAAAGAAATCAGGACTGAATTATCAGAAGGACCCTTCTGGTGCCACTCTACCCACCAGCCCTTGCAAGCACAGAGGCAGAGGACAGACCTCTGTTATCTCTGAGTATTCAAGTGAAGCTTGCACTTCTGGTGTTTTGGGGCACATGTCTTAATTCTTGGCATGAATCCCAAGCTGCCTTGCAGGGATAAATGGAGAGCTTCCCTGGGCTGAGTGATTTGCCCTTACAGGAGTTGATAATGACCCTGCTTAAACTATAGCTGCTCTCACAGATGGTCTTGCACACACGGGCTGGTTTGGGTAAATAGCTTCCTCTTAACACAGGGTCTGAGGATCCTTTGGTAAAACATTAGCAGAAAAGTTAGCGAGGTCTCGTCGTGCCGAATCTATTCCTGTCTGTGTAGAGCTAATTTAACTGGACTCGAGGTTAGCCTGACCTTAGAGGAAAAAAGTATGTGATTCAATTAGCTCAAACCAATTGAAACTCAAACTTGCTTGGATGCATACAGAAGAATAATTAACATATAATTGGCCTGACTTTGTTTCAAAGGAATGACTGTGTAAGAAGCTCCCATGATACCTTGATAGTTGCGGTCCAAATCCCAATAAATGGCACCAGGAGCTTACCTGAAAATTCCATCTTGAAGTATTTCCTTTTAAAAGATTCAAATACATTGAGATAAGTGCCACTGTGTGCAGTGATAACACCAGCCTTGTGGAGAAAGTGAGGGGCTGAAGGAGGGGAAGATGCTCAAATCAAAGTGTCTTTGGATTTTTCTAAAGCTGAAGAAGTGACAATCTGCCAGTTTTTGGAACAGAGGAAACCTCTGTATTTGGAAGATTCTTTTCTGGAAGCTTTTATTTTGTAAACATATGGATTTATTTTAAATTCACCCGAAAGACTGTCTGTTTTCTCTTTTCCACCTGAAAAAATGCTGCTGGGATTGGAGAAGATGGGAGATAACTATAGGCAGGTGATCTGCTTCTGTGATGGGTCTTGAGGAGTTCTGTTGCCTGGAGATCATGATTGCAGCTTTGGTTTGTCCATATTGCAAGAGCAGGGAAAACCTCTGTTGTCTCTGGTCTTTCTGAAACTATCTGGAAAGAACTGGAAGATAAGTTGGCTTCATAAAGCTAGAATTGAGATTACTTACCCTGTTGTAACTGTGGTTTATAGTAGGAGCTTGAAATTCATGTTACGGTGACAAGAACAGCAGCATTAAACTATTGTTTCACTATTTATATGAACTAAAACATTATCTGTGTTTCTGAAACCAACAATCATAATTTTCTGCAGTTTTTATCCTTAAATGCAACACAGTTTTGTTTTTTTTTCTGCTGTACAAGTGTCTTATCAGGTGTTACTGAGCATAACTGCTGTAAGCAACTGCTAATTTACAACTTTCCCTTTTTTTAACCTCTAGAAAGAAACTATCCCCTCACTGACTTGTCTTTAACCTCAGCGAGAGCTGCGTAGTTTTGGTTGCTCTGTAATCTTCCTTCTAAATCATGAAAATAAAGGCTGGAAAGAGCTGCTGTTGTGCTTTATTGTGTTTATATTGCTCCTGCAGGAGGCATTCCACTACCAAGATACGCTGCGTACGGCGCATCAAAAGCAGCTCTGTCCATGTTTTCCGGAGTAATGAGGCAAGAGCTTTCCAAGTGGGGAATTAAAGTCGCTGTAATTCATCCATCAGGCTTCCAGACAGGTTGGTGTTTGACACTTCCAGTAGTTCCTTCTGCCTCGCCTCTTT